CAGAAGGCTTTGAAACGTAAAGATATATAAAAATTTTCATTTTTGATTTTTCTACGATTACTATAACTTTCCCTACGGGAAGTTAAAAATCAAAGCAAATATATATTTTCGATAGTATAGGTTCTTCTAGTTGAACCTAAAAAATCCAGAAAAAATGAGAAATTCACCAATTTTTTGCAACTTGAAAAAAAAAATCATGTTTTTTGATACAAAATTTCACTTTAGATTTCTTAAAAAGTGGGTTAATTATAACTTTTTTTTAAGTTTGTTTTTTCATGTTCAAGTAGAATAGAATTTAATCCTGAATACAATGAATTTTGTCTCGTTTCGTTAGGACGTTCAGTTTTTTCGGTATCTTTCCCGCCAATTAGGTAAAATCGTAAAAATGAAAAACCGAGAAATCGCTTGCTCACTATTTCTCCTGTAATTCCGAAAAAAAATTGAATTTGTTTCTAAAATTTTAGGAATATATTTTTTGCTAATTTTGCAAGACATTTTTGCAAAAAAAATCGTTTTTTGATTCTCTAAAGCAGTCTCCCCCCATAATTAATAACCTAAATGTTTTTATAATTACCGCACCATAGTCCGGGCAGGAGTCGTTCCCGAGCAAGAAAGATTTTGTTAGAATAATATTAATATGTATGTGATTTGGTAATATAATCAGTGAAAAAACATTCAAAAATGTGCATAGTAATTGTCACATATTATTAAAACTACATCTAATCTACCTCAATCACAGTACAAACCTAAAATTCCATCGTAAACTAGTTCAAGAGCACTTTATTTTAGAAATACTGGCAAACACTGTTCAAGTTTGAGACAACAGGTGCGTGACCGACATGTTTAATATCAAGAGAATTCTTTTTAATAAATAAAATTAAACACGGAAACAAACAGCGGCCTAAATCAGATCGATAATCCGCAACAACGATTCGTCAAACAAAATGATGTTTATATGCCGAAATTGTTTAAATTTCATTGTAAGTCCCGAGTTTAATCTTATATTGCGGATTTGATAATCTGATATCAAGAAGTAGTGATATCCATTTTAGCTTGAAAACAAATCAAAACTAGTTGGTATTGGTATTTTGCCTTAAGGCAAGTTACATGAAATTTCCGATATGTGTAAATAATCATCTTAATCCATGATAAATAAATTCATTTATGAGTGGTTAAAAGTATTCAAAGTGGATTTATTACACATTATTAAAAATCGAAACGTTAACCCGGTAGGAGTATTTTCTGAAAGCAAATTTTTTAAAAATCAATATTATTTTATAATTAAACCAGTTTCCGTAGGACTTTAATGCTTTATTAAGAACATGTACTCTGTCGTAAATCGTCTATAACTTTTATTTTAACAAACGTCGTAAGGCCGTATTATTTCAATAAGTTGTTAAGACCATGATATATATCATCAAAAAAATTTCATAAAAATCGGCTCAAATTTATTTTTCAACAACGAATTACAAGAAAACGGTAGATTTTCACCTAAAACTAATCAGTATCATTTGCAACTAATATCTTTTGAACAGTTTTTGATTTTTTAAAATCAATTCGGTGATATAAGCTTAAATGTGGACGGAAAGTTTAACACTTTTTTAAAATTTCAAAGGAACGGCTCGGCCGATCGTCACACAAAACTGACAACCAACAGTCCTTATTGAGACACATCAAATAGTTTTTAAATTTCTGAAATCGGTTCAGACGTTTTTAAGCAAACGTCGATGAAAGTTCTAATTTTGACAACAAAAAAAACGATACTAATTTTTACAAACTTTGACGAATTTTTAAAGCTAAACGAGTTGTCGTGGGGCCGTTTTATTTTAGTATGATCTAGAAGACTATGGTATCCACCGTCAAAAAAATAATAATAAAAATCGTCGAAAAATTTAACACTTTATTACAAGAAAACGGCCCGGCCAATCTCTACCGAAAACTCATCAGCACGATTCCCAACCAATATCTTTCGAAAAGTTTTTGAATATTCAAAATGAATTCAGAACCGCGGGCTAAAACGTGACAATAGTACTCAACGAGGTGCATCGAATGGTTTTCAAATTTTTGAAATCGGTCCAGCCGAGAAAACGTCGATTCACGACAAAAAATCTGTTCACGTACATATATACATACACACACACACATACATACATACTTTTTCCAAATTTTGTCTCATTCGATTCAGAATGGCTTGAAACGTCGAGAAAACATAAAATTAGCGAATCGGATTTTTTGATGAAAACATAAACTTCTCTTTCGGGATGTTAAAAATTATGTTCTCGAATAAAAATATCCCTTCGTCGGCTTTACTGTATACCATACAATTAGAAAATGCATTATCAATATAATAAGCCAACCGTTGGTTTCGCTTTTAAAAAGTAACGTTGTGAGAAGCGTTTTATATCAACAACTAATAGAAAGAGAGATATTGAGCTAAATTTGGAGGTAAGAAATATTTATTTACATCACATAACTATAAATAATATACTCTCGTATGACAAAAACAGAAAAAACTTACAAAGAAATTAATTCGTAAAACAACGATTTGTTATTCAAAATGATAAAAGAACTATTTGTACATTTACGACAGTTTTATTATTCACGCACTAACATTAATTCATAAAATTAATTGGACCAAAATGCGAATTTCTTTGTTAACAAACACGCAACAATGATGCTAAGTCATATCTGATACTACTATAGATACTAGAGTATCTACTGATACTCTATAAGCGGAAGTACAATTGTTATATAACTGCCAGGAGTAAAACAACAACATTATATAATACATTCTCAATACAATTTTGTAAGGTACATTCCAAGATTAACGTACGTATTATACATATTTAAAGCCGATATTAACCTACGATTTAGATTCGAAAATGTTAGGCCAAAGTGTACAAGCTGGCGCAGCGTCGTATTTTCCAACACAGTGTACCGTTAATCACAAAAATAAAATTTATTCTGTATTTAGGAGTTTTATATAAATAAATATTTTGTAATGCGTAATATTACATTATGTTTTGACCAAATTATCGTATGCGAGTTATGATCGTAATTATTTACGTTTGGCCTAGCCATTGTACGCGGGGCTATGCTTGTCATTGCAAGTTAAGGGATTAAACTCAAGTGTAAGTAATATTTTGTGAAAACTTTGCGATATTTGTATGAAATCGACATGATCAGTAAAAACTGACATTTTTCACTCAAACGGCACATTATTCCAAACTTCGATGAATTTTTATAATTAGATCACTTTTTGTAAACCCATAATATTTTAGAATGTTCTTAAAGACCATGAACCATATCTTAATAAAAAGTTTCATTAAAAACTTTTTTTCGGTAAGGTTCATAACAAACAGCACGACCGATCTTTACCAAAAACTAACTAGAGCGATTCTCAGCTAATATTTTTTGAAAAGTTTTTGATTAGATAAAACCGGTTCGGGATTTTTTTGCTAAAACATGAACAAAAAAATTTGCATTTATCTTCTAATTGCAAGAAAATAGCTCGGCCGATTGTCGCCAAAAACTAATCACCGCAGGATTTCATAAAGTTTCGACAAATGGCATCTAAAGTTTTAAAATCGGCACAGTTGTTTTTCAAAAATCGACAACAAAAATCAATTTTTGGCTCACATATACAACAAACACAAATACATATATACGTACATACACAAACACACTCGCACGCCTACTTTTACCAATTTAAAATCAAATGATTAAGAATGACTTGAAACGTCGAGAAAACAACCTTTGTCCTTTGAAAAATTGATAATTACGATATGCGTATTTAATATAATTGTTATTTATGACTCATTATCTTTATAGTACTAACGTTCTACATAAATGCATAACTGACGTAATATAAAACCCGCCGTTCATTGTAATATTGCGCGTTAGTTGAATTGGAATAATATTACAACAGAATTCTACTCAAAGCAAGATTTTGACATCTTTTATTTGCCCGATCAGCTAAACACATAATGTTAGAAAAATTAACTTTTATTGTATTTTCAATACAATTGTTAAATTTAGGGGAAGTACGGACATAATGACATTGTGTTTTATTTTATTTTTTTATATCTATTTATTTAATTATATTATAATCAGTCTCAATCGGCTTTACTCATCTTTTGTTCATTAACTACCAGTAAGATAGCATTTTAATTAAGAAAGAATTATAATGACATATTTATTAAGAAAAAAATGCAACCTATAACAAAAATCATTTTGTCCATACTATATGCATATATAGTTTATGACATACTGAGATGTTAATTTTCAAAAATGCAGTTCAAAAATAAATCATTTTATCCTCTTTAGGACATCAGCTTGTGAAGCATAAACGCAAAGGGTACAGATCATAACCTATCTTCGACTGGCTCAGAATGGAAAATGAGGGATTTTGCAATAAATGCAAGTCTCTTCTGCTTATAGAGGGATCATTTGATCTGTTTTTAGTACTTATTTCTGGCATGCTTGGGGTAGAAGTTAAAAGGCAATTGCTTTTGACAGTTTTTAATTTTTTTTTCCTCGCCCCATAATGCTAGTGAAATTGCTAGTAAAATTCATTGTATAAGTATGTAGTGTAATTTTGTCCAAAAGTAAACAGAAATAAACTAAATAAAGAATTAATCAAAATTCCATGAAACACCTGATTACTGAAAAAAAAAAAATCGAAACTCGCATAAGTTAATTGGTTTTAATTGAAATTATCATAAATCTCAATAAATAGATCCCAAAACAGTATGAGAAAAACACCCACAACATAAACTTTTCAAGACGCAAAACGTTTGACGTTTGAACTGATTACTGAGACAAGGCCATGACTAAGACGCCCAACATCTGATAGGATTGTTATTATGGCTTTCTTCATGTTGTATAGTCACGGAAACATAAAAAACTTTTTAAATTAAGCCACTGTGTCATTTTGTTTCATACCATTTTGTCCGTATTTCCCTATATGTAAAATATTTAAAAAAATTGAAGAAACTCACCAATGGACATATATTTATCAAAACCAGCCATTTTTCTTAATTCCATATTTTCAATTTCAGTATCTAAATTCCAGGTGTTCTGAAAATAGTAAAATGAAAGATAAAAATTACAAAATTTATTACAAAATGACATAATATAACCATGTAAACAGAAATATAAGAAAAATTTGAGATAAAGATTCATACGGAAAAATATAAGAATTAGACAAGGTTAGTTTAAATTACTAAATAAATGAATTATCAATTTTTTTATAAATATAATTTCACTTTATTAATATCTAATTTATACAAACCGGATCAATATCTAATTGTAGTGGCTCCATTTGAGAATATTCCAATTGATTTATTACCCCATTTGCCGATCTAGAAGCACTATGCTCACTATTGTCTCCTTTTACAAAATGAACACTATGGCCCCATATATTTCTTTCATTGTCATTTACATTGTTACGTTCCCAAAATGACTGATTTGGATTAGATTCACTCATGTCACTATCATTGTTTTTAATATTACTATTGATTGTACTGTACATTGAACTGTTATGATTTGTTTCTAATTCCTGCGTTTGATCTTCATAACTGCTTGAAAAATCTGGTTCATAAGCATCTGTAAACATAATATGAATCACATTATGAAAAACAAACATAATATAGAACATATTTATGAGAATTAATAATTAAAAACTATTCAAGAAAATATATGATAAAATACAACGATTACTAAATGTTAATCATTGTATGCATTTATAAATTTATTATAGCAAACACACACTATATATGATGTAAATCAATATTAGGAATATTTATGAATGAGTTACCAGTAGAACAATCATCAGAATCATATTCAAGGTCTTTATCTGCACCAGGAAAAAATTCTGATAATTTTGTCATCCTATCAACCACATCGGCCATAGATGGTCGTTGTAATGGCTGCTGGTGCCAGCATTCACACATCAATGTTGTTATAGGTGCAGGACAATTTTCTATCAAAGGCGGTCTCTGACCTAAAAAAGTCATTATCAAATATTTCTTGCTGTATAATCTAGATTTTAATTACAATACCTTTATGTACAGCCCACATTATACTGAATGCATTACCACCAATTTTGTCAAATGGTTTTCTTCGAGATATTACTTCCCAAAGAATTATACCCCAGCTAAAAACATCACATTTTTCTGTATATGAAGATCCTTCAAAAACCTAGAAGTATGATAATTTTACAAGCAATACTAGATTTTTTTTTAGTTTTTAACTAATATTACTTCTTTTTTAATCGCAATTGATCAATTTGAATTTTTTCTTTCATCGAAACTTTGGAATTAAATACATAATAGTATTTTGATATAATAATTACCTCAGGGGCCATCCAAGCAGCACTGCCTTTATTGTTTGTCATGTAAGTAGACTTATCAGCTGCTGTACCAAAATCACATATTTTTAATTTTTTACCTCCAGAAATTAATAATAAATTTGGAGGTTTTAAATCTCTATGTATTAAAGGTTTTGGCTGCATTGCATGTAAATATGCAACACCCTGTAAAAAATTACGTACAATGTAATCGAAATATTGAATTGCCAATTAATATCACAGTTTATGGATTTTACCTTAGCGCATTGTAATGCCCAGCTCATAGCATGAGCCGCAGAGTATTTGGGTTTAGGGTTGCAATGTAATACATTGTATAAAGAACCACCTTCAGCATATTCCATTACAAGACATACTGCAGGTCCGTGTGAACATGCCCCGTATAATCTAACAATATTTGGATGTGAAACTCTGGACAATTGCCTTACCTAAAATAAATATTTACAAATAACTCAATACATACTGTTCATTTTGGGATAACACTTTCTATTTAGTAGGAAATAAATATTGGGATATCTTCTAATGTAAAATTGAATGATTAATTTATAATCATTTTAATAAATAATAATTGTGCGACTGTAAACAACCTCAACAGAAAAGGCTTTCCTTTCTGCTTCTGATTCTATATCCTTGACAGCTACATATATTCCTTTCCATTTTGCTTTCCAAACAACACCAAAGGATCCTTTGCCTACAATCTGTGTAATAAAAAAAAATCAATTTTGTGGATACAGATACATTGTTGAATACAGTGATTTATCATTAATTCTAGATTGTATAACCTCAAATGTATAAATAACAAATTATTTTGATGAATGTATGACATATGAAGTTAATTATAAATAAATAGGTTTTAAGAATATGAGCAAATGTTGTTTTTGTTATCATTTCATTCCCAATTCTACCTTCAGTCTTTCAATCTCATTGTAATTTATTTCTTCTACAAAATTTTGATGTGGGCTATTAGCCTCATGTGCTTGTGTAGCCATTTGCTCGATCTCATATTACGTAAAAACTAATTTCAATTACTTTAAACTAACTGCCAAACAATTTGTAATGAACATTTATTAACAAATCAAATTTCTACACTTATACATAAATCACTTGCACCATTTGCAAAAGTCAGTTCAGTCAAAATATACAACCTGAATGGGTGATACCAACCGCAGCGACACAAAACAACTATTCAAAATTTGAAAGTTGTAATTAAATATTGGAGAACTTATTTTATAAAAGGCAATTCCTGGTGAAATAATGTTTATTAACTTCCCGAAAGAGAAGTTTATGTTTTCATCAGAAAATTCGAATTGCTAATTTTATGTTTTCTCGACGTTTCAAGCCATTCTGAATCGAATGAGACCAAATTTGGAAAAAGTATGTTTGTGTGTGTGTGTGAACAAATTTTTCACCGTAAATCAACGTTTTCTTAAAAACGGCTGGACCGATTTCAAAAATTTAAAAGCCATTCGATGCATCTCGATGGGGACTAGCGTTTACCAGCTTTGAGCAACGATCGGCCGTGCCGTTTCTTTGTAAATTGTAGAAAAGCGGAAAAAAATTCGTCGACGGTTTAGCCCGCAATTCTCAATCGATTTTAAAAATTCGAAAACCGTTTGAAATTGAAATATTGGTTGGGAATCGACCTGATTAGTTTTTGGTAAAGATTCACTGGCACAAGTTCTTGTAATTAACAAGACAAGTCCTTTAACTTTGAAAATTCATCAAAGTTTGAAAAAATAGTCGCGTTTTCTTGGCATTTTTCACAATTAGACCTTTAATCGACGATTTCTCTGAAACGCCTAAACGGATTTCAAAAATTTAAAAGTCATTCGATGAAACTTGATAAGCACTCGCATCGGTTAGATTTTTGATAAGATCGCCAAAGTCGTTTTTTGTAATTAGCAGAAAAGTAAAAAAATTTTCATCCACGTTTTAGCCAAAAATACTGAATCAATTTTAAAAATTTAAAAACTATTTTAGGGTCCCTTTGAAAGATATTTTTTGGGATTCGTCCTGATTAGTTTTGGACAAAGATCCGCCGAGCCGTTTTTTTCGTAATTAACAGTTGAACAAATTTTTTTGATGAAACTTTTTATGCTGATGGATATCATGGTCCTGAACAACATACTAAAATTTTACGCACGTATGGCAAGTAGTTTAATTTTAAAAATTCATCAAAGATTGAAAATATATTATAGTCAAAATTTATGTCAAAAGTTGCTTTTGTGATGTGATGGGTCAAACTTCAAAATTTATTAAAATTTATAATGATAAGCCACAATTTTAGAGCATACAAGCACGTGTCTGTGCATTATAATTAACATAATTAAAGATAATTTAAATGTGTTTGAGAAAATTCAATTGAAAATTGTAATGTTTAGATTTAATTGATAGCGATAACTGTATTTTTAAAATAAATAGATGAAATTTTTATCGAAATATCTAAATCTAAATTTTAGTTGATTAAGTCAATTACTTAAACATACTATTGATGTTTCATAACAGCATGCATAAAATTATTCATTTTATCTTACGTTTTTAATAGATTAGATTATATTAAAACTGATATAAATAATTGTATAAATTATGGTCAGATTATAAATTTTACAGCGCATTGAAATTTATTTTAATAATAATTGTGCGTATTATACCTTTTGTTTATTGTTTATGATATTTGATATATTAGTCAAAGCGTAGTAATTTTGTAGTACGCAAATCTATTACTCACATTAAAATCAGCGCTCGCAAAAAACAATATTCAAAACTCATAATCTATAAAATGTTCCTTTTAGTCACTGCTAGTTTCTACAATCAGATTACATCATAATCTATAAGTCGAAAGTGGATATTGACAATCAAAGCAAAGTGGAAAAAGAAGAAAAACTGCTTGCCTTAGTCGTAGTTGTACCTACTAGGTACTAAAAAACTAAATCGATCTCAGCCTGGGAGCAACTTTTATTTAGTTATTAGTTACCAAGTCGAACATATTTTATTTTAATAAAGCCTAAAGTAAAAGAATAACATCAAAGTGTAACAAATGAACAGGAGGCTGGGTTACACTTTTCTATTTGATCAGAATAATTTTGTTAATTTACCAATTATCTAAGAGAAATGTAAATTAAATAGTATTTTAAACATTTATGTGCAAATTCTGAAATCATGTCCTTAAATACGATGGATTAGCCATAGAACCAAATCATACAAGAAAAGGGCGAGTGTCACAACCGTCCCTCAAACTTACCTAAAAACAGGTTAAAAACAATAGCTATGAACACCAAATTGATTTATAACGACTTTTATTGTCGTCAATAGCAATAATATGTAACACACCACAACATAAACATTTAGTAGTATATGGCATCGTGCCTTGGCAAGTTGCTGGAACTTCCCGCAGCGTAACGAAATGTTCCAGGAATATTAAACGTTTTCAAAAAGATTATTAATACTACTATAATACATTGTCTAATATTTATAAGAATTATATAAACTGAGTTACAAAGTTAAAATTATTTATTAGAGTATAGAAGTCATAGATAAATAAGCATAAATAAGTGAGCTTTAAGAACTTTAGCCAAAATTAAAATTAAAATCTGAATTTTTTTCGATATACAAAAAAAATATTCTGAAAAAAAATTGAAATTTAAAAAAAAATCCAAAAGCAATTGTTTTGTCAACACAAGCAGAAAGTTTTTTGAATCATTCAATTCGTATGCTTAGTTCTTTCAAAAACTGCCATTTTTTTACATTTTGCTCTGTATCTCCACACACACACGTGCGCGCGCACGCACACACACATTCATTTTTCTGAGGTATGCCAAAATGTTTAGAAACCTCTAAAACGTGAAGATATGCAAAAATTTCATTTTCGATTTTTGGCCCATTACTATAACTTACCCTACGTGAAGTTAACAAAGCTTATGAATAAAATAAATAAATAATAACAAAACATATTTTTACACAAAGTTAACAATGTTTTTCAATTCTTTGGAAAATCTTTTTTCTTTTTTGTATTAAATTTTTCTGTTTTTTCTCTTTCGTATTTTATCTTCGATGTACCCATATAAATTAGATTTTTTAACTTCCCGTAGGGCAAGTTATAGTAATCGCAAAAAAATCAAAAATGAAAATTTTTATATTGAACATTTTGGCATACCTTAGAAAAAATTGATGTATGTGCGTGTGTGTGTTCGTATGTGTGTGTGTATGTGCTTGTGTGTGTGTGTGTGCGGATACAAATTTTCGTCGACGATTTCGGGAACACGGATGAAGCGATTTGAATAATTTAAAAAACATTCGATTTGTAATAATAACGTGCTGATTAGTTTTTGGCGAAGACAGGTCAAGCCGTTCCGAAGATATGGGACTAAAAGTGCCAAAAACGGTAACTCAATTTTTAAGGGAACGGAGCGTCCGATTTGAATAATTCATAAAACATTTTACTTGTATCAACAAAATAAAGAACTGATCAAATTTTCATGAAGGCAGGTCTAGCGGTTTCGGAGATCTAGTAAAAAAAGTAAAAAAAAAATGCCATTTGGCGGTCAAAAATGATCATTAGACATATGCACATCAAATTATCAAATATTTTATAGAGATTTTAACAATAAGTATAAATTTTGTGTACATTCCTATGGGTTCCGTACCAATGTTTTTCTGTTAGACGTCGGCGCGTCGCTTACGCGCTTCGATATTTCGTCTATATGCAGTTAAAGCAGTACGATTGCTTTGAAAAAAAAGTTCAGAACTTCCAAAATATTTCAAAATACACTTTTCTTCAAAAAGGTTTTTTCAAAAAAAAAAGGAAATTTTTGTCAAAAATTTATAGTTTCTCAAAATCTAATTTTCTCAGAGTAATTTTTTTTAAAAAATGTTAATCTTTTTAAAAAAAAAAAATTTTTGGTACGGGAAGTTGCAGCAATTTGCCTTAAGGCACGATGCCATGCGCCCCACTAGTTATGTTTAATTTTACCCAAAAATGACCAAGAATTTTAATTTTACCCAAGAAATATATGTCACAATTGTGCATTACTCGCAAAATTTCCCACAACCGTAACCAACGCACACTTTTGAAAACAAATCATAACTATGACTGAGCTAAATTATTATATATTTTTTATTGCTATATTACATATTTAATTATTGCTATATATTATATAGCAAAACTGATTGTTGGTAGGTAAATAACTGCTAATGTTCAACTTACAGAAAAATAACAAACTATCTGTATACAATTAACAGCTATTAATAAAAGAATTCGAACATGAAATTTTCGAATTACATTCAACTCTATAAAATAAATGCATCTTTCTGTCTTTGGATCATAACTCAAAAGTATAGTAGCTGTAATTACGACTGTCACTACCGTATCCTGCACAACCGTATCCAGTCTCCATACTTATAAAATTATTAATAGTTTATGAAGATAAGGCCGGTATTGCTCACACCCACTTTGTGTTTTCCAATTTCAGCAAAAACTTTAAAAAATCGTATTTAACTATTATTTTTTATATTTAACAAAAAATCTATAAAACGCTCTTTATTATACCGGCACGAATAAGAAATTTTGCATAACATTTTGCATGTTGTACATAAGCAGCAAACTTCGAAGTTTGGAATTAAAAATTCTGACACAAACCTAAAACTAGTTGAATGTGGCATTTAGCCTTGAGGCAAGTTGCATTAACTTCCCAAAATGTGTAATAATTGACTTTATCAACCGAATTTGAGATTTAGATATTTATGAATTTTTAACTTCCCGAAGGAGAAGTTATGTTTTCAATCAAAAAATCCGATTCGCTAATTTTATGTTTTTCTCGACGTTTCAAGCCATTCTGAATCGAATGAGACCAAATTTGGAAAAAGTATGTGTGTGTGGGTGTGTGTGTGTGTGTGTGTGTGTGTTGTGTGTGTGTGTGTTTGTATTTGAACAGATTTTTGTGCCGTAAATCGACTTTTTCTCGAAAACGGCTGGGTCGATTTCAAAAATTTAAAAGCCATTCGATGTATCTCGACGAGAACTATTGTTTGTAAGTTTTTGTGCGACGATCGGCCAAGCCGTTTCTTTATAATGGCAGAAAAGTGAAAAATTTTTCGTCAACGTTTTAGCCCGCA